ATCAATTACATATCTTATTTCGTTTCAAATTACACTATCTAAAAACACGTAAGTATGAAACTTTTCGCTAATAAGTTAATTATAAAAAATGCTATGTTTAGAGATCGTTTGGCTTCACTCGGATGGTCACAACACGAATACAAATATATTCCTCAAACGAAAATAAAAATTCCCTCATCGGTATTAAATTCGTGGGATACGGTTATAGCTGAACCGACTGATCATATCATTCTTGGTAAGCTTCTAATTATTTTATAATAATTGTATAACAAACTACATATAATAATAACACTGAATAATAACATTGAATTTTAAAAAGCTATTCGATGAATTAATTTTTAATAAATTAAAAAATGTCACTAACTTAATTTAGTCAAACTTTTTAACTTTTACAAGTTTTTAAAACAATGAAGATATTGTTATCATCGTAAACATTAAAAGTTACGTAAATGTGTACATGATTTTACAGAATCAGATCTCTCAGAAACGATCGATCCTAACGAGCATGAAGGTGTGCTCGTTGAAGTCCCAAGCAACAAAAAAATCATCATTGAAGATGATCATCCCCATGATTTTAAAACATTGAAACATGATCTGTTGGCAGCACTTTTTCATAAAAGCTCAAGCTCTACAAATCATATACATTAACGAAAATTGATGAGAAGCGGATGAAGATGCGGATGTAATAATATTGGCAGCCAGTTTTATGTTTCATCCAAATATCTCGTTAAGAACAACACATTTTAACATTTTCATTAAGGAAAGAGGTACTTCAAATTGCCTAAGCAATCACCCATTTCCGAGCGTAACGAGAGTTCTGGGACAGTCTGCATTAGAAATACGGAATACGTACAATTATATCATTTTGATCAAAATTTCGAACTTCTAATCGGTGACAAATTTACAAGCATTTACAATTTTCTAAAAAAAAATAATAATAATAATAGCTGTTCTTCAACGATCTTCATCAGTTGCTGATTTTACGAGTTTACATACTATAAATAAATAAGGGTAAATCAGTACTACAGTACTACAGTATTACAGTTTTCATTTTGTTTCTTTCTGTATTAGTGAAAATTACACGTTTATTTTGATCAATTATACACATAAGCAATGTTACATAAAATAGTTCAAGTAGCGTGTAGATTAATCTACTAATGTACTAATGTTTTTTTATAAACCATTTTTCAGTATCCGATTTTTTTTTGTTTATTAACATTAGTTTCTCATATTATTTTGTTTACAAATAAAGCTTAAGTTTGTTGAAGTTCTTTTTCCTCATAGCTTCGGTGAGCGTTTTATACGATGTTTCCATTAACAGCGATATAATTGAGGGTGGTTTCACCATTCTCTCTTTCATGCGTATGCTTTGTTGTTTCTCCCGATGCTTGCCAATACTCGAAGCGAACGCCTGCATGTATTTACGATCGGTAAGTCGCACAATATGAGAACCCATTACATCATCCAGATATAATTTCACGGGTGGATAATTTATACTGTAAAAGCAAATGAATATGCGATTTAAACGTCAGTTCGAAAAGTATCAGGGTGTAATACAAATTCCTGTTTCTAAAAAGCACTAAAAACAAAACGAAAAACAGCAGCCTAATATTATTTAATTTGTGGGAACGTCCTATAGAAACTAAAAGGTACAAGAATCAAGTTTACTAGAATAAGAATATATTATTTAATGTCTCCTTACAATTTGACTAAAATACAATTAGGAGAATTTTTATATAAAATAAAGATTTTTATTGAACTTTAACATCGTACATTATTACGAACAATTTTCTTCCTCGCAAATCGTACAGTCACACAAAATGTAAAGCTACATAATAAAAATCATTAACGCGTTACAATTAGTCATTTACTATATTAATTACTATATTAATTAGTCATTTTAGCATATACGAATATTATCTTTCGATTGTTAGCACTAACAAAGGTTTTGTGGTTATACGAACTTCTTAGTTATTTTGAAAACATCATAAGCTTCTATAATGTTACTCAGAGTTTTCTTTATATTTTTCTTTAACACTCGCATTTTACAGTTGCTTTTCAGAGGAATGTAGTATCGCATACAAATTTTCCTCAAAAATTATCTTTATATCGTAACTTACGCGTATTTGACATGTTCCGTTTCCCACCATTTCAAAGGTGCCTCAAATGGATCGCGTTTGGAAACGAACATCTTCCGTACAGCTTCATCTTCCCTTTTCTTCTTCCTCCGCGCAGCTAACTTTGCTGCTTCCGCTTCTGCGTCATCTTTTGCGCGTGTCTCCAGCGAATCATGCGACAAATCCTTTTTAGATTTCTTTTTCTTCGGTATCGATGCTGCGTTCGCTATCGATGACATTTTCACATAAACTTGTGATTTATTATTATTCGGGCATTTTCAGTGGTTCAACGTGGTCATTGGTGAAGATAAATATTATTACGATTACCGATCTGATTTGTGTAATACGAGTTGTGATTTAATATTGGAACTGTAAGTACTGACAGGTAAACATTTTGTAAATGAATTTAGCAAATTGAAGAAATAAAGAGTACCTGTGATCGTATCGATTATATCGTTGTGGCTTTGGATGCAACGAATTCGATATATTCGTAAATAAGCGTTTCCTCGTCTTATTAAAGGGATTTATAAAATCGTATAAAAAATATAGCTTATTTTATTATTTTATTATTTTATCGCTGCTTATTTGCAACACGTTAATAGACATTAAAAACCGCGTCTGTCGCTTACGCGCAGAACGAGCTTAAATTATTTTGAATAAATTAAAACTCGGTCGCCAATATTCCGTTCGATGGTTGCTAAACCTTGACCTCATAGACATAGAGTTTATAATTAACTGTATAATGATTGAATACGTTCCTCACGAGTACAGTGTTCGACAAAAGTATTGATACGATATGAAATGTTCGTAGTTATCTAAGAAATTGTATCTTCCTCGACAAATTCGTATTTCGAATATTCTGATTGAACGTTTACAATTAATAAGAAGCAGTGGTGTAAATAAAATGTCATAGAAAATGACGAAAATATGGTTCTTATGAATTTTCTAGAAGAATTAAAGTAATACCATGGAATATAAAATAAGATATTTCGACTTTGTTCGCAAGATATACTTCGAAACATTGTAATAGAGATAGGAAATCTTTTAAATAAATAAATAAATAAATTATGAAATAAAATAAGGTGTCAGGAAATCAATGCTAATTTTATGTAATGTAATTTAATAATGCGCATTTCGTTTAGGTAAAATACTAGCGACGTGAAGTT